CCCATCTCCAACGCCAGGGCTGCTCTCAGCCCGCGGGCCAGCTGTACGGTGCCTCACAGGCTCCAACAAGCATGACACATGCATCAGCATGATGATGATGATGATGATGATGATGATGAGGAGGAGGAGGAGGAGGAGGAGGAGGAGGAGGAGGAGGGAAGGGCGGAAGAACAAGAGGAGAAAAGGGGAAATAGCGGGAGGACGCATGAACCCCGCTCACCCGAGCCCCTGAGACGGACGGCATGGAGAAGAGCACGACGACCCCTCGGCGAGGCCCGAACTTGCACACTGAGGGGCAACGATACAGGGGGGGACCGACTCTGGGAGGGGGGGGGGGTGGAAACGTCGAGCTGGAATCGGCGATACACCGCCGATGGATCGGCGATGGGCCACCGACAGCAAAGCCGCCCGCTCTTGAACTGTGCGGGCTGTCGGTCCCCTTGTGGCGATGAATGAGCAACTGTGCGACCATCAAAAACGCGTCTTACGCGAGATGACACAGCGACCTCCCTGGCGGCGATGAATGAGCAACTGTGCGACGATCAAAAACGGGTCTCACGCGAGATGGCACAGCGACCTTACGCTTGCGGATGCCATGACAATGGACACTATAACCGTTCTATCATTGAACTAAAGATACGTTTCAAATGCCGTCGCCATGCTTTGAACATGTTGGACACATGTTTATGTTTCAGCACTTTAGACATATAGTTTAGGCATCTGGAAATGATTTGGCGATACGCCTCCTCTCCACTGATCGATTTCCACGACCGTAACCCACAGCTTACGCGGGCCGCCAGCGCGGCACGCTGCGTCAGAGACGAGGGCGCTCACGTGCGACCTGACGCGAGCAACTCGCGCGCACATGTCGGCGCAAACGACCCCGCTGGCTTCCGTCAACTGCGGGTCCAGGCCCGCACTGGCGGAACAAAACAGACACAGACATAATTTCTCGGATCGGCGCTGGACTCCCTTCCCTAGCGTCAGCTCGGGCGGGTTCTCTACAGGCGGATTCTGGCCGAAAAATCAAAAGTAGCCAAACAAAATGCTCAACACACAACCAGAAATTATCAAAAAATCGTGATGGGCCTGTTTTCCACCACCACCACCATATGTTGGAGGGGGAGGGTGTCCTCCTCCTCCTCCTCCTCCACCTCCTCCTCCTCCTCCACCTCCTCTTCGTCCTCCTCCTCGTCCTCCTCCATCCCCCCTCCAACTTATGGTGGTGGTGGTGGAAAACAGGCCCATCATCCCCAGACCGTTCTTGGACGATTCTTGAAGACTCCCCCCCGCAGAGGCCTAACCCGTGGCGCGCGGGACGCGCCAGGGGGCGGCGCCCGCGGAGGCGCCGAGCCGGGGCTCCCCGGGCCGACCCGACAGAGAGATCCGCGCGGAGCTCCCGAGGATTGTGCCTCCGCCTCTTCTGAAGGGGCCCTGGGACACACAAATAAATACACACAAATAAAAAGATCCACCATATTTTCCCATATTTTCTGGGTTTCTGTCTTCCCCCCCACTGCCCATATTTTCCCATATTTTCTGAGGAGTCGACGATTAATTGTGTCTGTGTGTTTCTTTCCCTCCTGATCTTCTTCAGGAGGCAACTGCTGGGAGGTCCTCGTCGGAAGGATCCCTCGGCTGGGGGATCGACCGCAGAATTGCCGTACCCCAGAGCTGATCTTCGCGTCGGCTCTTCCGCAGAAGCACGTCAGCCATTCGCAGATCTGCGAAAGCTCTACGAATTGCCCGTGGATTCGACAAGAAAAAACAATTCTGGGGCAAACCAATTCTGTAGTCGATCCCCTACTCGAATTACGGAGGATCGAGACTTGAGACTGACTGGGGGACTGCTGCGCCGGATCCGGCCGCGGACGAAGCAGGATTGGGCCGGCTTACAAGCCGACGCCAGGGCACGCTGCAAGGCTCCCCCGGACAATCGCACAGAGCCGCTGGCGAGTGCTGTGCGTGATGTTGTCCTGCTCTCCTCCCCTCCCTCCTCTCCTCCCTTCCGCTCCGCGCTCCCTCTCCCCCTGCCCTCTTGCATGTTCAGTGTGCGATGTGCGAGTGCAGCGGTACCCGCCGCCCAGCACTGGCCTATATGTACAGTGGCTGCGACCAGGCACTTCAGCATAACTTTCTGCACACTTTCTGGCCTTCGTTTTGATGCTAACGTGTGCCGATGCGCCGTCTTGGCGCGGCTTCTTCCTGTCCTGTCCAGGACGCTCTGAAGAATGCCTGCAGCCTTCTCAGAGCGTTCCGGAACGCTCTGAGAACGTTCCAGAGCGCTCTGGAACGGATTTATCCTCGTCCTGGCCCCGCTCCCGGACCCCCGACGCCACGATCTTTTCATGACGTCGACCCCCGAGGACTCGACCTATTCCCCAGGACCAGATTTTCATCCTGAATCGTTTTTTGATGGTCCCGTGGCCCGGCAAGGGCCCCCAGAGCTCGAAACTTGTCAAAATAACCTCCCGTCGTGATTGTTTCATTGCTCGAGGGGGTCTGGGCTTTATGTCCTCCCACCAGCGTTGCCCCTGAGCCCCCCGAGGCCCCAGGAAGGGCCCCTCCCACGCGGAGGGCGCGCCCGTAACTACTAGAGGCTTGGCCTCGGCGAAGCCCTCCCTGGCGGCGCGCGCCAGGGGGGCAGGGGCAGGGGGGAAGGCTTCTGAGAGGGGGGCTGCTTCTCTTAAGTCGGGCGTGTCCCTCTACAGGAGGGAACATGCAAGAATACGCATAGCCATACTACTAATAATGGATAGTGGATATGCGGACGGCATTTTGACGAGTTTTGCATTTTTGAGTCGGGCGTGTCCCACTGCAGGAGGAATCTTCAAACATAAAAACATAGTGCGCGAACGATGTTTTTACTACGTTTGCATATGCTTGTGTCTTGTTTGCCTCTTTCCTATGTTTCCTCCACTATCCGCCTGTGTGAGGACAGGCCCGACCTACTGCTTCTCAGCCGGCGCCGGGCCTACATCCACTGGCAAGGCCCGCGCCTTGTAAGAAACAGGGGTGCTTCAAAGGGCGCCTGACGTCGCGCTGCTCGCGCTGCTCGCGCTGCTCGCGCTGCTCGCGCTGCTCGCGCTGCTCGCGCTGCGCGAGGCCCGAAGAGCTGCGCGCCCTCGCGTGGCCCCCCTGGGGAAGCAGAGGAACATGAGGAGGCATCGGGGCCGAAGCGCGACTCGCGAAGCACTTCGCGCCCCAAAGGGCGCCCCTTGGCTTTTTTAAGGAGCCCCCCCCCCTTCGCTCTGCGCGCGGCCGACCTCCGAAGCCAGACCCCCCCGACGTCATGCCTTGCTCATGAGGTCGACCCCCAGTGGCTCCGACCTGTTCCCCGGGACTGGTTCTTCATCCTAAACTGTTTTTTGATTGGGCGTGGCTTAATGGGGGGGTCACAAATGGGGGGGTCAGAAAAGGTCCCCTTTCGTGCCCCTTTCGGGCCCCTCCAGAGCCCCAGGGGGCTCGTTTAGGTACCGTTTGGGTACCTTTTCGGACCACGCTCGCCACCCCCCCATTTATGACCCCCCCATTACGCGGCGCCCAATTTGACTGACGGTCCCGAGGCCCGGCAAGGGCCCCCGGAGGCCGAAGATGCCGAAAAACCTCCCGTCGTGTTGTGCACAACGCGAGGGGGAAGCATGCTGCGCATGCAATGGAGTCAACGATGTGGACCCGTGAGTAGACCAGTCCAGAATGTCACTGTCACTGTTGAGGCTATGATGTCACTTTTGATTTTGGAGCCGGCTGTGATTTTAGACGCCCGACATGGGTACCGAAAAAATGGGTACAATGCCTAACAGCAAATGTTGTCCCAAACCAACAGCGGCCGATGTCGGGCAGGCGCCTTCCTGTCCCGAATGGACACAGGCCGCGGCGGCGTGGACAGCGAGCCCTGTTCAAAATGAACAAGATCCGCTGTTGGGCATTGTACCCATTCTTTCAGTACCCATTTCGTGCGTGCAGAGTCAGGAGAGCCCAGAATCGAATCGACAGGTCGGATCGGCGATCGACATGAATCGGATCGGCGGAAATCGGCAGCCGAGTCGTGAAACATCGGATCGGCGGAAATCGGCAGGCTGCTGTGCGTCCCATGAGAAATCGGAAATCCGAATCGGAATCCCAAGTCGAATCGAATCGGAATCGGAAGCCATCGAGATCGAATCGAATCGAATCGAATCGGAGTCGAGATGGGCCCTGCTCAGAGTGATGCCCACTCGTGCCCACCCCGTCCCGTCGCCGGGACCTTCGCACCCCCCCACGACGGTGGCATGGGGCGCGCCACGGTCCGCCTCCCCCGGCGCTGCACGCACACTGCCGGGTCGGGCGTGCCCCCTCCTGCCAGGCCGGCTTTGGGCGAAACAGAAACCAGATTGAGCAAATACTCTGAGGGAGTCCCAGAATCGCCCCCTGACTTTCTCGCTGTTACTACTTTGGAATCTTCCTCCTGTAAAGTGACGGGCCCGACTGACACGTGCTGTTGAAGGGGCCCAGAGGCACACAAATAGGTACACACGAATCCCAAGATTCCCCATCTCTCACCTATTTGCTGGGTTCTCGTCTTCACCCCCACGTGCCATACCTTTCCACAATTCCCTCGGGATCGACGACCCATGGCGTCCGTGTGCTCCTTCCCCTCCTGAGCACCGTCCCCAGAGTATCTTTCATAAACTATTTTTGAATCTTTATTCGCCCTCCCTGACTCAGGATCCGCCCTACTTTGGGGAAATTCGTAAGTGGGGCTTGGAATTTCCGCCTTACTTTTCAAGCCCCGCTGATGCCAATTTGCGCACTAGTTTTCTGTTGCTGTTTCTGTGGATTTCCGCCCTATTTTATGTTGGGTGCAGCAATTTCCGCTCTACTTTTTCGGCCTCTTATAGGTGGATTTCCGACGCAATCTTAAGTTGGAAAAAAAACCAAAGTAGGGCGGATCCGGAACAGGGTATTCGCCCTGCAGAGGGACGGGCCCGAAAGAAACGCACCGTGGCGGCGGCCGGGGCCTGCCGTGCCGCGGAACGCCCACCGGGCCAGCGCGTCGGCGGCCTCCCGGGAGGCCTGCCGCGGCCCGGGCCCGCCGGGGTGCGTCAGGCCTGCCGCCGGGGGAGGGGGGGGCGGCGGGGGGAGGGGGGGGGAGGGCGGCAGGGGCGAGCTCCTCTGCCTCTTCTGTCCTGGGGCCAGGGAGGCCCTCCTCTGCTTTCCTCCTCCACACTCCTCTCCTGGGAGAGGGAGGGGGTGGGGGGGGGGGCGGCGGGGGGGGAGCGGAGGGCGGCAGGGGCGAGCTCCTCTTCCTCTTCTTTCCTTGGGCCAGGGAGGCCCTCCTCTGCTTTCCTCTTTTACGCTCTCCTGGGAGAGGGAGGGGGTGAGTGAGGTGGTGGTGGTGTATACTTTCGGGCCTCGTAAGAGGGGCACTCGTCGGGCCTCTCTGAGGCATGTCGGAAGCTATCTTGTGCACCACCGGTCGTGTCTTGGGCCATCCTGGATGCCATCTTGGAGCCTCGGGTGCCCTGTTCGGAGCCATCCTGGACGCTCGAACGATTCGCGGCCCGCCCCGAAAAAACCTCACGGAGGGGGGGAGGTACACCTCCCCAAAGTGGGCGAGGTCTTATACTGCGGGGGCCCGACCACACGAAACCTTCCACAAGAAACCCAACCCTGAGACCCCAGGACGCCCATCGGTGCTCGATGCGGGAACGTCACGCTCTCCACAGCAAAACCATCGAAGCCCAAGAAGCCCAGGGCACCCTGTAGGCAAGCCAGGTGTTTCTTGGCATATGGGCTTCCATTGTATGCGCACTAGCGGGCCACGGCCAAGACCGCCCCAGGGCCCAGTGATCGTTGCCCTCCCCCCAGAACTCCTCGCGCTGTGCAGAAAGCACGGCGGGAGGTTCCTCGCCATTGCCAGACCCCCGACGTAATGATTTTTTCGTGACGTCGACCCCCCGAGATTTCGATTTACTCCCCGGGACTGGTTTCTCATCCCGAATCGTTTTGAGACTGTCCGGAAGCCCAACAAGGGCCCCCGGAGGCCGAAAATGATGAAAAAACTCCCGTCGTGATTGTTTCATTGCTTGAGGGGGTCTGGGTTTTCGGCCTCCAGATGCCCTTCCCGGTCCTCGGGGCCGTCAAAAAACGACTCAGGATGCAAAGCCGGTGCCCGGGAAAGGGTCCAGACCTCGGGGGGTCGACGTTGCGAAAAAATCATGACGTCAGGGGCCTGGGAACAGGAACAGCGTGCTGGGCATGGGGGACGCAGAACAAACGCACAAACTACGAAAAGAAACGGGTTCTACACGAGAACTTCACATGGCGACCTTATGCGATGGCTTACGCGGGCAGCCAGCGCGGCACGCCACATTGGAAACGAAGGCTCGTACGCGCTACCTTACGCGGGCAGCTTACGCGCCAATGTCGGCGCAAACGACCCCGTTTTGTTGCGTCGCTCACATGTCGAAACGCTAGAGCGAACGCGCAATCATTCGCGAACACACACACACACACGCACGCACGCACACACACACACACACACACACACACACACGCACGCACGCACGCACGCACGCACGCACGCACGCACGCACGCACGCACGCACGCACGCACGCACGCACGCACGCACGCACGCACGCACGCACGCACGCACGCACGCACGCACACACGCACGCACACACGCACGCACGCACGCACGCACACCACACACACACACACACACACACACACACACACACACACACACACACACACACACACACACACACTTTTGGCGTCGCGGCCTCGCGCGCAGCGTCGAGGCCTCGAAGAGGTCGAGGAGCGACAAGCCGGGAAACGCGCGCGCGGCCGGCCCACGCCCACGCGCCAGGGACAGAAATCCGCCGGCAGGGATCGACCGCGTCATATCATACGCAAGCCCGGGTCCAAGATGTGGGGGACGAGAAACGTGGCGGAAGGGCGGGGAGATACCGGAAGGTCGGTACCTACTCTGGGTTTCTTACTAAGCGTGGCGGAAGGGCGGGGAGATACCGGAAGGTCGATACCGGAAGGTCGGTACCTACTCTGGGTTTCTTCCTACGGGGGTCAACCTCGCCTTGTCGTCGCGCTGCGACGGGGGTCGGAGCGCCTTCGGCGCGCGGCGGCTGCCCGCGACGGGGGTCGATGTGGGGCTGTCGGCGGGGGTGACGCCCCCCCGACGCTTATTAAGAAACTCGCAATACGGGGCGGGCGAGACAAGGCGAGACCGCAAAAGGGAGAACGATTGGGCAGGGCGGAAAACGCAATTGCAGCGGACAGCGACGTTAGGGAGATGGCGGCACAACCGCGTAAAGGGCGAGTGGAAGGAGCAGTGCCGCTGGCACACACACACACACACAGACACAGCCACAACCACAGCCACAGCCACAGCCACGGACACACACACACACAAACACGCGCACAAACAAACACACACACACACACACGCACGCACACGCAATCACACAAAAGCAGACACACACATACAACACACAGCACACAAACCACACACATACAGACACGCAAACACAATACACGCAACACACAACAAACAACAACTGCAGCAACAAGGACAACACCCAACAGCACCAACCACAACAACCAACAACCGCAACATCAATAACAATATCAAACACCACAACAAGACCAATAGCAACAGCAACAAGAACAGCACAAACACCAACAACAACACCAATAACAACAACCACAACAACAACAACAACAATGTCAGCAACAACAACAGCAACAACACATACACACAACACAACAACACGTAACACACAACGCACCACACCCATACCCACACAACGCACACAACACGCACGCACGCACGCATGCGCGCATGCGCGCGCGCTCACACCCACCCACACACACGCACACACGCACACATGCACACACACACACACGCACGCACGCACGCACGCACGCACACACACACACACACACACAAACACACACATGAACGCACGCACATACACACACACCGACACACTCAAACAAACGGCCTTTTGCAGGGCGACAAGGCGGAGCCAATAAGAGTACTAAGCGTGGGGTCGCGGCCGGGTCCTCAAGCATCACTCGGGATCCCGCAGCACAGCACCGGGCGCCATGCAGCGAATCCGGGCGTGGATGGCAGTGAAGCGAGTGACGCGCCAGCCGAAAGCCATGCTCGACGAGGCTGAGCAATTGAAGAAATATACACACACACACACACGCGCACACACACGATCACACACACGCACGCACACATTGGAATGTGGAAACAACACATTCATCCCGCCTTGTTAATTCCGCGCCCCATGTGCTTTCCTGCATCCACAGGTGCGTGTGCGCGTGTGTCATGCATCCCCGTTTGTCCCGCATCCCTATGTGTTTGTCCACGTCCACCTCTCCTGCGGCGTCGCATTCTGCTCGTCGCGTCGTCCCCGGGCGATCTCGACCCCTGCCACTGGCGGGCCCGGCGATCTTACCTTCGCCGCCCAGACCTGATAATTAGGATGACAGGCTGGCCCCGCGTGCGCCCGCGAGCAAAAGGGCGCGAGGTCTGGGGGCGAAGACTTAGGGGAATTCAGACTGACTGACTGACACACTTGCGATCCACTTGCTATCTGACTGAGCGCAGCAAAGGCGATACATAAATGAAAGCGGAGCCTTGAAGCACAGCAGCTGGATCTGTGTTCGCTTCTCTGCGAGCGACTGTCCAGATCGCTCTGCAGGGGGATGCCCGAGGGGCCCCCCTGGGCAAGGAGGGCGCCGACTATGCACCTAGCCAGGGTCGGCCTGGCCAGGGCCGGCGTGCAGGTGCACGGCTGGCACCCGCTCGGCACAGCGCAACCCCCCTAGATGCCCCCGTGCCCGACTGGGTCACCGGCCAGCGCCCTGACCACCTCCCCTCTGCAGTCCCCGCAGACGCGCGGAGGACCGGCCGCTGCAAGGCGCCTCCCGAAGGGCCGCTCTAGCGCCCCCCTACAAGCGGGTTCTTGGACGACAAATAAACATAAGGTCAAATAGTTGTCGGAAAATATTAACAAATAATAGAAACATCGCCCCCCATATTATGGTCAAACGATTTGGGGAAATTCCCGCTGCAGAGGGGCGCGCCCGACTTGGCGCCGGTGGCACCGCCCTCCGACGCGGGGGCCTCGCAGCGGAGGTGCCCCCCCAGGCCCGCCCTGAGATCCTGGCCCGGGGGCGCCTTTTCCCACCCTGGGCGCCCCCGCCCAGGTCTGGCCGGGCCCGCGGGGCTTCGTGGAGCGATCCGCCCCCCCCCCCCCTCCCCACCCCTCCCTCGCTCGAGGAGCGCAGCCGACGGGCGGGGGGGCCAAGTGCTCGGCGGCGAGCGAGGGGGGGCAGGCGCAGGCGAAAAGGAAGAGGCCTTCTCAGCAGGCGGCGGGGCTTCTCAGAAGCCCTCTTGCCTTAGGAGAAATGTTCTCTCTTCGGGGAATGCCCTGAACACTTCTCGACATGCCGGGGGGGGGGGGTCCGAGCCTGCTGAGGAGGCCCGCCCCTTCCCCCGCACCCCCCAGCCCGCCGCCGAAGTGCGCCCCAAGCCCCAGACCTCGCGAGACTTTGCAGCAGCCAACGGCCTGCGCCGCCGATCCGGGGCGCTCCCGGCACATGTGCCGACGCGACATCTGCGCCCCGGGGCCCTCCCGGTCACGTTGCGCCGTCAAAGGTTCCTTTCGACGCGTGTGGTTTTAGGGGGTAGGTGAGACGCTGACTTGGGATGAGTCCGCGTTCGCGTTGAAAACGAGGCATTGCCAAGTGGCCAAATCCTCCTGGGCTGCAAAGGAGGAAGGGCCAACGGGGCGGGCCTGAAAGTGCTCGATGAAGGAGAGGGAAGAGCCCCGTCCACGGCGCCAGTCTCCGCCGCGCCTCCTCCGCGCGCGCCTGCCTGCGCTGGCGGGCGAGGGCGCGGCTGGCAGCGACGCGAGCGACCTGCTCGCCACTGGGGGGGGGGGGGGGCGAGGGGGGCGGAGGCGGGGAGGCAGACGAAGGAGCGGGGCCCGGAAACTTATATGAATCAACAAATTCTCGCTCGCCCGCGGCCTCAGGGGCGGGGGAGAGGGGGCCTTCAGGAGCAGGAGT